GCGCTGCTCGCGCCGCCCGGCGACGGCGGGCGGGGCTGCCCCATTCATAAAAATTTAACCCCCCCCGCGCCTGCCCTCCCCTTCGCGGCCCGGCCCCGCCCGCTCCTCCCGTGCCGGTCTCGGTGCGGGGCTGCTCCCGGCCCCGCAGCCCCCCYGCGCCGCGGAACAGCCCCCGGGATGTCCCCGGGCAGCGCCTCGTGCGGGACGCAGCGGAGATCCGGGAGACCCTACGGCAGCCGCCACCCTGCAAGCAGCGCGGGAGGCCAGCGGACACCCCGAGAGGCCCCACTTTGGCCTGGCCCCAACGGGAGTTTCTTGGTGGCCGCAGTGCTGGTGCTGTCACCGAGGGCCCTGCAGCCACCCTGGCCCAGCTCTTGTGCCTCCAGGATCACTGGGATCCGCCCCAGCAGCAGGGATGGAGCTGCTGGAGCCCCTCGAGCCCCTGCACAGGTTGAGGAGCTTCTAGCGTCACTTCTAGACCTCTCCTGGACAGGCAAGATGAGCGGTGCCAGGAGGGAGGGCTGAGGAAGACGGTGGGCACAGAGGAAGGTTGAGCGTAAGAGGAATGTGCCGCAGGCTGCTCTGGCAGGGGCCAGCCGCCCACTCTTCCCAATGGATCACCCTCCTCCAGGCCTGTCATTAGCCTGAAAGGAGAGGGACGATGTTGTCACCTGCCCCAAGGCTGACCTTGGTGTGTCCCGCGTAGCACTCGCGCTGTGCGGCAGAGCACTCGCACTCGCGTGGGCGCCGTGTCCGGCCCACCTTTGGGGCAGGTATTCCTGAGAGTGGGAAAGGATGTGAGGGTGCCAGGGGCACGGAGGGAGCCCCAAAGAGGAGATRGCGCCGTGGCCCCAGCCCTGGGAGCTGCGTGCGAGGACAAGAGGCCAGGCTCTCGCTGGAGGGACAGCAGGGTGTCACYGGCGTGGCTGGCGGTGGAAGGTGGAGAGTTAAAGGGCTCCTGGGCCAGGCTCGCTGCAGAAGACCCCCGAGTGGCAAAAAGAAGTTGGGTTTCCTATCGATGTGACCCCCAACATCCCTAAATCCCTGCCCAGCGTTCCTCCTTGGGTCTCTGCAGCCCTGCTGTTGTAACACCCGCACCCCCGTCCCTCCCTTGGCCTCCCCTGAGCCTTGTTCCCCCCTCAGCTCCCTCACACAACCCTCTGCAGTGACACTAGGAAGGCCAAAGGAGGGGGGAAACCAAGGGAAATGGGCCAAAAGCTTCCAGGAGGGAATGGGACAACCACCTGGGTAGGTAAGGCCGGAGGGGAAGCCTTGGGTGAGATCCAGGGATGCCACGTCCCCGTCCGGCTGCTGCCGGGAGGCCGGCGCTGCTGCGTCACGGGCTGTGTTTGCAAACAAGCCGCGGCCCCGGTGAGGTGTCCACGGGCGCCAGGAGCTGCAGGCTGCGCCAACCTGCCCGGCCAAGTGACTCAGCCCGCTCTGCTTCCGCCCGGGAAGGCACGAGGAGAGGAAGTG